CTCCCTCTCTCTCTCTCATTTTATGAGACAGGTCTCAGTATGCAGCTCTGGATATTTGGAACTATGTAGACCAGGCTGACTTCAAACTCACAGAGGTTTGCCTGCTTCTGCCTCTTGAGTACAGGGGCTAAAGGCATGTACCATCATGCCTGGCTGATAAGTCTAATAACATTTATTTGGTTGTTTGTTTATGTGTTTATTTATGTTTTTCAAGACAAGTTTCTCTGTGTAGCCTTAACAGTCCTGGAATTCACTCTGTAGACCAGGCTAGCCTCAAGCTCAGAGAACCACCTCCCAAATGCTGGGATTAAAGGCATGAGTCACCACTGTCTGGCTAACAAAAATTATTTAAAGGGACAGGGAAATGTAAAACCCAGGAATAAAAACAAATTCTTTTCCCCAACTTTCCACAGTTGCTTTTGTCCAGACTATTGCCATTTTTCATCTGGGGATGCGCATGCGCGTGCGTGCGTACGTGCGTGTGAAGGGGGGGAAGGGAGGCGTGGCGGGGGGGACCCTTTCCCTAGCCACTGAGGCCCTCCAGTGACAGCCTTGTCCCCCTTTTCCCGGCACTCCACTCCATGGAGAACATGACCCCTCCATTAGAGGCCCATTTCACCAGCTGTTCTCTTTCCTGAAATGCTCCATCTGGCGTCCATCTCACCCTCCCAGCCCAGCTAAGGGCCACTCACTGCTCTGAGCAGCTGACTCCTCAGACCCGATCTGTTTGTCCAAATGGTTTCACAGCACCACCAATCACTTTTTACAGCATGTACACAATCCACATTTATAAGTTTTTAAAGTTTATCTGGTTATATGTTCATCATTTTCTTCCTAGGCATCGATGGCTCAGTATCCAGTGAACGCTCAATGATTATTAGTTGAGTGAAAATTTTAATACAGAAAGGAAAATCTTTGTTGATTGACAGAGTTTTACTAGAGCAAATAGATTCATAACAATTAGTCACGTTAAGAGTTATTCTTGGCAGTAAAGAACTAATGCTTATAATAATAATACTGAACTTAAATTTTTCTGATCTTGGTCTCAGACAGAAACAGCAAACAAAAGAACATGAATATATAAGCTCCAGACACACCCGTTAGACAATGCTAAGATAGCCCTGGAAGAAAATAGAATCTTATGTGAATAATTATTTAATTTGGTGAAAATTCCAAAATTGCTCTTTTCACATGAGCCACCGCAGGGGGCAAGAGGAAGCACAACAGCATGAACTCAAAATACAGGTTAAATTCACTTAAATTTATAAAACCAGTTGTGGCAGCAGCTGCAGGGGCAACAGAAAATACAGCATTTCGAATGTTTCCACCCTGCTGGGAAAAATGCCAAGTTGGAGTGTGATCTGACCTGCATCTCATAGCTTATGTAAAGGAAGAAAAAAATAGCAAACAAATCAACCAAGCATTGGGAAAGAGCAGAGACTCACAAGACAACCTGAGAGGAAGGGGGGCTTGGAATGGAAGCTGAGACAAGGGGCAAAAGACTGTGATCCCAACCTGTAAACCCCAAATCCTCCAGGGGCTGCTGATCCACCACTGACTCTCTGGAACCAGATCAAAAACCTTATTACCCCAGTCTACAGAGACTTCATTTCTAAAGTCAGCTACCTCATGCTTTACCTCCCCTAAGACTGTCTGTTTGCTGTCACAGGCCAGGACCCAAATACAAGACAGGTAGGTATGGAGGACTGCGACACTTCAACAGTGTCTGCCCTTTACTACACTATGTGACCCTGCTCTTCTTCCTAACTCAGTGACTCAGGGCAGAGTGTACTTTCCAGTGGACTTGGCTTAGGACATGGCTTGGCTAACAAGAGACTAACAAATGTGCCATTTGGAACAGGCTTTTATCCCTTGGGTTTCTATCATCACCATGAGAAAACCTGTCACTGCTAAACCTCTGTCCAAAGCAGAGGAGAAACCACGGAGTCAACATGGATGCAAACTACATGCTGGAGGGAGGTCATACCACACCTAGCCATAACAAGCCTTGTCAAGCTGCTCTTCAGAAATTTACTTTGAGCTATTTTTAAATTTGTTCAAAAGACTGAAAAGACAGTACAGTTCCCACATGTTCCAAATGCCCTTTCCCAAAGTTAAAATCTCATATTGTCACAGAAAAAATAATAATAGCGTTAAGTAATGAAGGACCACTTTCAAACGTCACCAGTGTTACCACTAATCAGGTCTAGAAGTTACTGGGTTTTGTTTCATTCTTTTTTTCATTCTTTCCTT